TGTTAGAAATACAACCAGCGGCTGCCAGGCAGGATATGCCCACATTTTTGAGAGATGGATAGAAAACAAGCTAAAACAAAAGTGATTTTTCCTACAATCAAGGGCCATAATTCAGGAAATTACAATTCGATATGCGCAAATATCGAAAGGAACCAAGATCTTTGAGTTATAAACTTATATTTCAAGTTTCAACAAAATCGGATAAAAATTGTGACCTCTATAGGGTCCACAATCTTGATATACCATATTTTACGCTATTTGAGAACGAACGGCGTCTATTTTGTCTGTCAGTTTTGGGCCGATTTTCACGAAATTCGAACTCAGCCGTCCTTAGGGTGTAACGGTGATATATTAACACGTTTTTTTAAATCGGATATAAAATTATGACCTCTATAGGGTCCACAAGCCCAAAAATGCGTTTTTGCGTACAATCAGGGTTATAATTCATGAAGTTACGGTCCGATATGCGCGAATATCGAAAGGAACCAAGATCTTTGTGTTATAAACTTACATTTCAGGTTTCAGCAAAATCGGATAAAAATTGTGACCTCTATAGGGTCCACAACCATGATATACCATATTTTTACGCTATTTGAGAACAAACGGCGGCCATTTTGTCTGTCAGTTTTGGGCCGATTTTCACGAAATTCGAACTCAACCGTCTTTAGGGTTTAACGGTGATATAATAATACGTTTTTTTAAATCGGATAAAAATTATGACCTCTATAGGGTCCACAAGCCAAAAAACGTGTTTTTATGTACAATCAGGGGCCATAATTCAGGAAGTTACGGTCCAATATGCACGAATATCGAAGGGAACCGAGATCTTTGGGTTATAAACTTACATTCCAAGTTTCAACAAAATCGGATAAAAATTGTGACCTCTACAGTGTTCACAAGCCAAAAACGTGATTTTTCGTACAATCAGGGGCCATAATCCATGAAGTTACGGTCCGATAGATGCCAATATCGAAAGGAACCGAGATCTTAGGGTGATAAACCTATATTTTAAGTTTCATTGAAATCGGATAAAAATTGTGACCTGTAGACTGTTCACAAACAATTGTGGACGGACGGACGGACGGGGGCGACGACAATATACGTCCACATGAAAATGTGGGCGTATATAGAAGATACTTACCCAATGTAACTGAGTTTATTTTTATGGATAATATTTTATGGATTATGGATAATATCTTCTAGATATTATATGGGTCATGGATAATATTTTATGGATTTTGGATGATATTTTATGAATAATATATCTTTTAATGTAAAGCTAAAAAAATATGTATTTTCTTGATTTTTATTTTGTGGATAATGTGCCTTTTGTTGAAAGTACTACATAACACCATTAAGCTTGGGGAATAGTTTTATTTCTTCTTCAACAAATTAATAATTGGTAATTAAATTTTAATTTGTTTTGGGGTACAGTGACCATTTTAGACTGTACTTCTCTTAAATATGTTAATGCCTGTTTCGTAGTGATCTGGTTTGCTGACCTATACTATGGAATAGTTTCTTCTTTTTCTTTTAATGTGGTTAGTATGTGACTTATACCTCCTTTAATTAGAGAGGGAGAGAGAGACAAAGAGAGAGACAGAGAGAGAGAGACAGAGAGGAATGTTTAACATCCACTCGACACAAACTAGGTCATTTTGGGACAAACATATGGTTTAATTTTATTTCAATAATTCGCTTGAGCGAAGGTGTCTTTAGCAGTGGGAGTAAACCGGAGGACGTGGAGAAAACCAATGTCCAATCTCGTGAGTTTTCTCCAGGTCCTCCGGTTTCCTCCCACTGCTAAAGACCCCTACGCGCAATCGAATTATTGAAATAAAATTAAACCATACATTGGTCCCGAAATGACCTAGTTTGTGTCGAGTGGACGTTAAACCCCATTTCTCTATCTCTCTCCTTTAATTGATTTTAACTGACAGTGTGTACGCATTTGTTTAGTTTTCCACAGTATCAGACAGCAATCCTTATCATTTTGAAACAAACTGTATTTTATATTAGAAGCCATATTTCTTAGCGTGTCATGTTACAAGTCATATAAATAATATCCGAGTATAACAACTACAAAACAAAAAGCAACAAAAAAATATACACATTTTACAACTATGTTGCATAAATATACATAGACATTTTCTAGATTTTAAGCCTCAAGCGGTGGACACACTAGCCGAATGATTCAGGCGAATCAAACGGCGTTAAAATTTGCCTAGTGTGTCCACTGTCATTCGGCCGAATGATTCGCCCGAATTAAATATGTTTGATATATTCGCCCAGTGTATCCGCTTCGCCGAAGCATTCAGCCGAATGTAGAATTCATTAGCCAATCACCATTCATATTGAGAAGTTACATGATTGTTTGAAGATGTTGTCAGTGCCATGTTTAATCACGTGACGTGAAAGGTGATGCAATCGACTGGTGAATTGGGCGAAGCATTCACCTAGTGTGTCCACCCATTCGGCCCGATTGATTTGACCGATCGATTGGGCCCGAATGATTTGGCTAATGTGTCCACTGTTAAACACAAAGGCTAGTTTCCGTCTTTCAAATACAATAAAATCTTTATCAAGATCTGATGACCTATCACAAGATGAACTTCAGTTGTTTTGACAGCATTAACTATAGGATAACACAAGGTACACTTTTATAGATACACAATTATTGAGTTTGATACTAAGCGACGTTTCGACGAGGATACTCACGATATTCATACAACACAAGGTACAATTTTATGGATACACAATTACTGAATTTAATACTAAGCGAAGTTTCGACGGGGATACTCTCATCTTTATTAAACTCAGTAATTGTGTATCCAAAAAATTGTACCTTGTGTTAATATGTTCAATTACTAAATGCCAATCAAAGAAGATACATGATTATATTTTGAATGGGGGTTATGTTTTTTTAAAATAATAATTGAATATATATTTATGAATCACCTTATCTTGCGTTCACTAACATATAATAAGCCAACGTGTATGTGTTGACAAGACTAGAATCAAATTCTTTAAAGAGAATTGTTTCGTTTTTTTTATCGTAGTAGAAAAATTAAAATATCTCGGCCTGTGCTTTGGCTTTAATGACTAGAAGAAACTACTAAATAAATAAATAAATAATGCACACAAAAATATACATTGTATACAGGCCTCAAAATAATTATCCATCAACGACAAATTTTAAAGGAATATTGTCAGCGATATTTCCTAGCCTGATCATCATCAATCGAACTAATAACTAACATGTGGACAATTAACCCTTTAGGACCTGATAAATACCATCTACCCATGTTCTTTGAAAAAAATCAGATCTTTTTGTACATCGAGCGTTGTAGTTCAATTTTGCAACCACCTGCCTCAAATTGCCCAAGTACAGGTCCCGGTTTCCCAAAACATTCTCAGACTTATTTATTTATTTATTTAAAATATAGCTTTTGATAAAACTTTTGTTGTTTTAATGTATCTAATACATCAATAAGAAACTATGTCCAAAGTTTTGTGTTTCTGGATCAAAGATATTTCACATAAACTTAAGTCTCAGAAGGCTTTGTGAAACCGGGGCCAGAACTGTGGTCCTTAAAAAGTTCACGGCTATTTACGTTAACTCAAGCATTTTGAAAGCAGTAGTTTCCAGCGGTTCTGAGTGGTCCAAGAGCTAAAGGGTTAAAGTAACTATTATTAGAAGGAAGGCAAACATTTCAACAATCACAAGACGGTATGTGTATAATCCATTATAATGTTATGATGAACGATGAATTTGCATAAAATATTCATAAATATATATTTTTTTACGCCTAAATTAGAACCACATCTAATTAAATAACATCTGAACTAAAGCATGATTATGATAACATGTATATAAGAATATCAATAACAAAGTCTAAGTGCACATGTAACAGGGCAATTTCTACGTGCAAAATCTTGGCAGGTGATTCAATTAAAGATACATTATGGGAGATTAGATAAAGAGCTGACAGTTCTCACTATAATAGTCGAACAGCAAATCGGAACCTAACCCAATAAACATTGCAGGCTAGTGATGCCATCAAGAGTTGATTATGGTTTGGATAAGTTAATTAATGTCTAATTAATAATTTGGATAACATTTCAGGCCTAAAGAAAGACCTGTAATAGGCAGATTTAGCTCTTCCGTAATGTATCTTTAATGAATTACATAACCTGAGTCAGGAAAGATTGTTCTACTTCTATGACAATATGATTAAAATATAGATCTATATTTCGTTTCGTTTTTTTATACTTTTGATGGCCTACACTACATGAAGGTCTGACCAGTTGTAATGGGAGGTCGCGTCAGAGGTCATACGAGCGGCTTTTGACCCTATGACATTGATTAATCAATCAGCGTTGACATTTCTAGTTGTTTGCCCACAGTTCCGTGCAGAGCACGCCAAGAACTTGCCGTAACAGATCATTTCATTGGCTCATTCCTCACATCAACTAGAATGCCTGTTATATAACAACACTTCCAGATCCTAGTGTAGTAGAGACAAATAAAACGAAATTTTGAACTATAAAAAACGAAACGAAATAGGATCTGTGTTTTAATCAGATTGTTTTTAGAAGATCAACTATTTTCTCTACCTCACAGACTCTAACTTTTTTTTACCTCTTCTTTAAATTTAAACAATTAACAATGGGATGTATGAAAAGGCAATCAGCATAACTGTTGTCATGAGCATAATTATCACACAGTTTATTTTTCACCAATCATTATCATGGTAATCTTTACAAAACAGTCTCAATCACAAGGACCAAAGCTAAAATATATTTTTCATTGGCTAATAGAGTTTAAATCCCAGAATACTTTTAAACTTTTAGCCAATGAAAAGTCAATATACTAAACGGCTTAGAACAATTTTAGCCAATGAAATAGCCATTTACTTGTCTTTCTTCGGAGATGATTTTTTAGTACTGTCTTTTTTATCTGTTTTCACAGCACTCTTGTGCTTTTTTGGACTACTTACTAAACGTAGTTGTGTTTCTTCTTCCAGTTTTTGTTTAACTTCTGAGTACATGCTATCAAGTCCAGCTCGATTTGTTTCATATGTTTGTCGTTCTGTAGCTATGTCTTGTTTTGTGGCCTGAAAATTCAAATAAGTAAAAAATATATAATTCAACTGACATACATTATGCAAGAGCTAAATTTGCCTATTGCAAGTACTTGCAAGTCTTTCTTTAGTCCTGAAATAATGTTACCTAAGCTATTAATTAGACATTAATTAACTTATCCAGACCATAATCAACTCTCGATGTCATCGCTAGCCAGCAATATTTAGCAGATTGGAATACATTTTTTGAAAAATAATTAAAAGTAAAAATTGATAATCGAGACTTTGTTTTTTATCGTACTGACTTTAGTAATGATGATCAAGGCTAGCCTAAAATTCAAAAGTTAATATCGTGGTTCAGAGTGAAGCAATTATAGCGAGAACTGTTCACCCTTTATCTAATCTCCCATTATGTCCCTTTAATGTCTTGGAATGTGAAATGAGGGGTTGTTAATCCCTTGTAAACTGCAATATTGGTTAAGTTGTATCTCTAATTATTAGCCCTAAAATGGTTCAGTTATCATAATTCAGTATTTGAAAGCTGTTGTTTAACCCTCTCCCTGTAAATTATACATCTATTTGTTTATAAATTATCAGTTGTTTTTTTTTGTCATGCTTCCTGTAAATCATACTTCTATATTTGTTATTTATCATGATTACTTATTAAGAGTGTATCCGCGAGAAGATCATGCAAAAATCGAAAAAAATTGCTAAGATGGGGGTCGGAAGTTTTTTATCAAACTTATGGTATGACACCCCCTAGGGGCAAGAGGTAACATGCTGAAGTGGTTACAGTCTGATGTCGCTCTAAAGGACTGTACAGGAATTATTCATTTTATGGGTAAAATTGCGGTTTTCACATGTGTATTTATCACCTTTTTTAAGCACAGACTGCATTTTATGGTGGAATAGCAACCTTCTAATTTTGACCCTGTCTGATAAAGCGGGTGGTCAACTTCTACCCCAGCACTAATTTGAAAAAAAAAATCAGTACATACTAATTTCGTGTGGACTTGTTTTAGGGTACCATATTCACATTGTCCTTATAGTGCAGAAAAAGATACACTGTAACTTTTTCTTTCATGGTCGCAAGTAGAATTTCTTTGGATGGTTTTGAAGTGCTAAGCACATAGTATCCATAGGTGTAAAAAAAATGACCGGAATGCAACATACTTAAAAAATACAGCTTATTGAAAAGTGCTAAAAATAAGCTTTTGTGATACATTTTTTTGCAAATTTAATTAGAGAAATAAAATTTTTGGCTTTTATACGTTTTCATCATATCCATAGCCATTATTTGTACCATGCTGTACTCTATATAAGTGTGTATTTGTATTTATTGTATATTTGGTATTGTCGTATTGTCCCTTTAACATATTTGTTGTATTGTCTCTTTAAGATTTCATTTTCAAACAAGTTACCGAAAATGGCTACAAAATGTTTAATTTCAGAGCATGTTTCCACTATTCATTTTGGGACACATCCAATAATTTCTACAATACAGAAATGTGGAAGCTTAAATATTAACGGCAACGAAGCCTAATTGCGTCGAAGTGGATGACATTGAACAGTGTAGTATGGTAGCTACAGCTCTCGGGCACCGTCAGCTGCACCTTCAGGGCCGGATTTAGAATAAGAGAGTCCCTAGGCAAACCCCCTGAACAGGGCCCATGACATGGACCTTAGGGCCCTGGGACAAGCAACTCGTTGAGAGGGTGGGTCGGGGGAAGTCATTCGGTTGGTGGTTCGAATCTCACTTTTAGGTGAATTTTTCATTTTCGTTGGATTATTTTATTTAAATTAATGTCTGTTTGAGAGTAATGGATATGTTTGTTAAGATTGAGCACGTCGAAACTCCAATGGAAGATCGTGGACAACTGCAGAAGTCAATTCCCGTTGACGCCAGATGAGCCATGAACGATTACAGGCCTTTGAAAGTATTTTTTTTCAAGATATTTTTATAATACAGATACTAATGTATTTTAGGGCTGGTAGTAAACACCATATGAATGAAAAGGAAAATAAATTGTTAGGTTTTTTTTATCTACTACGGTTAATTATCTCCAAAATAGGGAAATTACAGGTTAATTTCATGGGTTATTGTTTCCTTTACCTAGTTTTTGTCAAGTCGATTCCGGTCATTTTTATTTTTTGTATCAAATGTTGGGAGGTTGCTTGTTCACGTGAGCATAATTTTTTTAAACCCATCCCATGAAAGAAGTAGCTATAGGGCGTCAAACTTTGGGTGACGAAAAATGGGGAATTTAGACAGGCCTTGATATCCAGTCCGTATACAGATCTTGTTCGCCAGAAGTTAATATTGTGTAACAGCACTGAGTCATCGATAAACTGTGTGAGTTTGGTCTTTCTGCTATGTATAGTAAAGGTGTAAGGACTTGCCAAAGTTGGTATTTGAGAAAAGAGAGATTTTGGCAATTTCACCATATGAAAAATGTTTTTTTAATTTTCGCATACAGGAATTGAAAGATTTATCTAATATTGCACATTTATGTTTTTTGGGACTATCCCAACTTATAGACCAAATTTGGTCAAAATCTGTGATTGAAGCCTTAGCACCTTCTGCATGGTTTTCTCGCGGACACGCTCTTAATCAGCTTTTGTTTTACCCTCCCTCCTGTAATTTATACTTATATTTACTTATTAATCAGCTCTTGTTTTACCCTCCCTATCGTAAATCATACTTCTTTTTGATTTTCAAGATTACTTACTATCAACTTTTGTTTTATCCTCCCTCCTGTAAATCATACCTCTTTTGTTTCTGAAGATTACTTACTATTAGCTTACTATCAGCTTTTGTTTTACCCTCCCTCCTGTAAATCATATTATTATTTGTTTATCATGATAACTCTTTCATCAGATTTTGTTTACCCTCCCTCCTTTAAATCATACAGCTATTTATTTCTCATACAGCTATTTGTTTATCATTATTACTTATTAATTAGCTTTTGTTTTACCCTCCCTCCTGTAAATCATACTATCATTTATTCATTATGATTACTGATCATTAATCAGCTTTTGTTTTATCCTCCCTCCTGTAAATCATACCTCTATTTGTTTATCATGATTTAATAATAAGCCATTGTTTTCTGACTGTAATGCTTCATTTTGTTCTTGTAACATTAAGATTTGATTTTTTGCAATGGCTAAATCTTCCTTCATTAATGCATTGGTTGTCTGGAATTGTTCAAGTTTTTGTTGTAAATTTGCTACAGTGGCACTGAAAAGAACAAACAAAATATTAACTTCTAAAATCACCACAAATAAAGTACAGATACCATTACAACAAACATCATGTTTCATTCGGACAAAGCAGTTTAATTTTTAGTTCATGGGGGTCCTGCTAAAAAAATATTTCGCTTAAAATCTAAAAACATAAAAATTTGAATTAAACTAAAAGCTTTCAAAAAGAGCAATCTAATATTTTTGTCTTCAAGAAACGAGAGATAGAGAGAGAGAAATGGGGTTTAACATCCACTCGACACAAACTAGGTCATTTTGGGACTAACACATGGTTCATTTAGCAGTGGGAGGAAACTGGAGGACCCAGAGAAAACCCACGAGTTTGGACTGGCAACCCTATTCTGAGAATTTTCGACCGATCTGAGGGTCTAAGACACTTTTCTTTGCCAGGTCTATAGTCCTGCACCACTGACAAGGGGACCAACTCATCAAGCCACTGTGGTTCCTGAAAACTATGTAAAATTCGTAATATGGGTAGAATAATCTGTTTTAAAAAGGTTTCATATCAGAATTCTTACTTTAAATGTCGGTTTAATTCTTCAAGATAGTTTTTTTGGTCTAATATTGTTGCCATTTTAGCATTGCCATGAGAACTGAAACACACATAAAAAAAAGAAACAACTATAAGAAATGAAATGAAATGAAATGAAATGGGGTTAACGTCCTACTGTTCTGCTCCGAACTGGGCTAATGAAGACGGGCATACGCCATACAGTGTGCTATGAGAGAAATTTTGCCCAGGTAAGGGCACTATGGCCTACTTGTATATCGTATTTCCAACTGCCAAGGGATCTTTTATGAGCATGCCAATGTATACATGGGACTGTGTTTTTTTGTCCCATCTTAAAGACTAGACAGCTGTACTCATCCTGCACCACTGATAAGGGGGAAACCAAGCCGGAAAATAGCAATGAACTTTCTCAGCCAACACAAGGACTAGCCACCGTGGCTCCACACAACTAACAGAATTAATCTGATTTGCTCGATATAAAAAGTTTTACACATAGCCAGGCCCCAAGTTCGCAAAGAATTCTCAGACTTAAGTTTAGAATTTACTCAAAATTGTTCGCATTATGTTAACTAAAATACAGCCCTTTATAAAACTTTTGTTGTTTTAATGTATCAAATAGATCAATAAGAATCTATTTTCAGGTTTGAACATAGCCTTAAAGTTCTAACAATAACAAGCTACGATACCACGATTCATTGACTCAGGGACATAAAAAAAATTTAAAATGTATGCATACACTGTTTTGTGTACATCCTAATAAAAAGCAGTTGATTAGACAACCTATAATTTTTTTACAGCCCTGGGTTAATTTTGTTCTATCTCTTTAAAATAAATGAAATCTTACTTGTCATCTTCTTCAGCAGAATTATTAAAATTTCCTTTTAAATATAAACTAAAATCTATAACACCCATCTGTAAACAAAAAAATATTACCCTTTCTTTATTGTAAAACAATAACTTGTGTTATGTACTAATAATCTATTTTGAGAGAGAGAGAGAGAGAGAGAGAGAGAGTTGAACGATCCACTACACACACAAACCAGGTCATTGGATTCAAATATATTTCAATAATTTGCTCCCGCATAGGGGTCTTTAGCAGTATGAGGAAACTGTAGGACCCAGAGAAAACCTGAAATCTATTTTTGAACTACTAGTATTATATAAGTAAAACAGAAAAAAATGTTCATAAAAACTAGAGATAACACGAAATGGGGTATAATGTCCTACTGTTCTGCTCCAACTGGGCTAATAATGAAGATAGGCATTTGTCATACTGTGTGCTATGAGAACAATTTTGCCCGGTGCAGCGGATGACCTCCTCTTATATAGAATTCCAACTGCCAAGTTATTTTTTACATGCACACCAATGTATACACCAGAACTCAGATTTTTGCTCATACGAATGACTAGACAGCTGTCCTTGTCAAGCCCTCCCCGTCCTGCACCACTGACAAGGGGGAAACCACGTCAGAAAATCCTGATGAACTTTCTCGGCCAATGCAGGGATCGAACACGCGAACTCCAAGCTAGCGAGCCAGCGTCTTACCAACTTAGCCACCGTGGCTCCTCGTAAAAACTAGGCAATATAAATAAACAGATCTTACTGGTTGGTCCAAATCTTCTCCTTTTATACACATATTACAATCAATAACATTTAATCCAACTAATAAACCAGCTAACACCATTCCTTCTTCTTCCATTAAAAATGCACCGGGTTCATAAAATTCACTGGAATATAAAATACAACAAGTTAAAAATGTACCAGGCTCATCATACTCCTCGCAGTGTTTCATTTGATTAGAGCTAATCCTACATAACACTGTTGTAATGGAAGCAAATTTCTGTTTCAAATTATGACTGGAGTGTAATTCTATTTCTTAAACATGCATTATGCAAGAGCTAAATCTGCCTATTTCAGGTCTTTCTTTAGGCCTGAAATGTTATCTAAATTATTAATTAGACATTAATTAACCTATCCAGGCCATAATCAACTCTAGATGGCAGCGCTAGCCTGCGATCTTTAGTGGATTGTAAGCCGATTTACTGCATAACTTTCCTTCTCTATTAAACGATTAAATGGATAATCGAGACTATGCTGTTTCTTGTACTGACTTTAGTAATGATGACCGAGGCTTATGGGAATTTCAGTCGCTTAGTTCTCGGTTCATAGTGGATCAATTTGAATGAAATTTTCACCAAATTGCCTTTACATTATCTAGTTTTTAATTATTATAGTGAGAACTGCAAACTCGTTACCGAATCTCCCATAATGTATCTTTAAATTACCTAAATTTGAACTTGCATTCTTCAGGAACATGAATTAAACTGTGCTTCTTTTTTCTTGTAGGGGGTGGGGGCAAATAAAAAAAAAAGTTCTTGATAGCTCTTCACAAATCCGTTTCGTTCAGCATTAAATTTTGGAATTATAAACCAAAATAAAATTGTTATGGAACTGAAATGGATATTTATTTATTTGTCAAGACCCTTAAAGAATGGGAGTTAGTCCCGTAATGACCTAGTTTGTGTCGAGTCGTAGCTCTCTATGTTTCTGTCCCTCTCTCTCATGGAGTAGATTAGTTTTATTGAGCGAAATTAAAATTTACCTAAGAAGTGGATCTTTGTGTTCTATAACAAGTTTGAAATAATCAGCCAATTTTTTCTGCATCAATGCCAGTCTAATCCAACATCTGGCTCGACCCAATGGTGATCTAAAATAACAAGATATTCAAAAATCAAAGAATAGCATTATTTTAAAACTAAAATGGAATAAATTAGACCAGAATGAATCATATCTACATGTATAAATGGACCATAGATTTTGTCATCTCAAAGCTAATACAAATTGACATGAAATGGAGTTTAACGTCCTACTGTTCTGTTCTGCATACGCCATGCAATATTCTATGAGGGAAATTTTGCCCGGACAGCGGCACTACGGCCTACTCTTATTCCAACTGCCAAGGGGATCTTTTACGTGCATGCCAATGCGTACATGGGACCTCGTTTTTTCATCCCATATGAACGACTAGACAGCTGTCCTTGTTAGGCCCTCCATCCAGCACCACTGACAAGGGGAAACCGCACTGGAAAATCCTGATGAACTTTATCGGCCGGGAGCGAACCAGCAACCTCCAGGCTAGCAAGCCAGCATCTTACACACTTAGCCACTGTGACTCCCAAAGCTAAATACACAGAAAACCATAATTTTTCTTTTTAAAAAATACAAAGTCAGAATACATTGGACCTTAGCCTTTCCCACAGAATAATGTTATTTTTTTTCTAAAATATAAAAACTAATAACACAGAATGGTTTTAAAAAAAAAAAAAAAAGAATAAATGAAATCTGAATGGATATTGTTTATATACCGGTGAGGACCACAGAAATTTCCATCTCACACTGTCACAACTAATTACACTGAACCAATCCCAGAATATCATGGTTCTTTTTTTTCTGTTGGACAGCCATGTTTACATTTACTCTTCATCAATTCCAACTATAATAATTTCTTTTATCTACGTGTCAATAGGTACAAAGGTGTGCCAATAGGTACACAGGTGTACCTTGATTTTTTGACCAATTGCAAGCATAATATATGTATTGTGAAGGTGATAACTGACAATTATAATCATTTTTACTTACTTTATATCAGACATGTCCCGAACACTGGTAGTTATCTCCCCTGCTTCAGGTGCATATTTTTCTATTTTTTCCAACACAGCCCAAAACTCATGTTTATCACGTAATATTCCCTTCTTGGCTAGAAAATAGAATAATAATCAATTTCACTGTTAAAGCTACATAACATTTAAGACTACACATGTTCAAAAATATTTTGATTCAATTACATGTACATGTTAATTGTTGTCCATTCAAAGGTTACATTGGTTTTTATCAATATTACACTGACATCTTTAGGTTCCCTTACACAAATAAAGTTATGTAACTATACTTTTATCTTTTTCTTACAAGCCAAAACTTTGTTAATTAGTCAACCATTTGATTATTATTATCAAGACTCTGTGTCTTTATATCAAAGCAACAAGACCTGCGGATATTCATTTGTTGGACACCTACATTATGGTCTTCTGGCCCTTTCACTCAGTAAATGGCAAGGTACAATTTCTAGGCCGGGGGACTGTACAGCGCAGTGGACACGTTTACAGCTGGCCCCCAGTTCCATTCACTTGATTTGATACTTGTTTATTTTTTGCAATGTCTATGTATTCTGTCTTGTCCGAGGGTTCATCTTGTAGGTTTTGTTTTGGTATGTAGTGTGGTCCTCCTGCACTTACTATTACAGCATAAAATGGGTTAGGTTGTTTTATTTTTAAGAGCATGCTCCAAGAAGAACACAAAGATAAGCAAGTATGTGGAACCAGTTCCTGCAATCTGATTCAAACACAGATCCTATTTTGTTTCCCTTTTATAGTTCAAACTTTCGATCTGGCAGAGTTGTTATATGACCCATGTTCTGGATGATGTGAGTGGTTAGCCAATGAAATGATCTGTCACAGAGGGTTCTTGGCGTGAGGTGCACGGAACTGTGGGTAACCCACTCGAAACATCAAAGCTGATTGGTTAACAAAATGTTAATCAAATAGGTTCAAAAGCCACTTGTATGACCTCTGACGCGACCTTCTACAACCGGTCAGATCTTCATGTAGTCCATCGACAGTAGAAAAAAAACAAAATGAAACTACATATGGATCTGTATTTTAATCAGATTGCAGTTCCTACTTCAAAGATAAGCATATCATGTGAACATAAACTTACGTTTAAGACCGTTTCGTAACACATGTTCCAAGACAACAAAAAACTGCTGTAATGGCACGTGATCATCATCTAACATCCGACCATGAGCTAGAGACGAATCTATTAATTCTTTTATAATCAGTTTACAGACATTTAATAAATTACATCGCTCTATTGTTTTCGGGTCACGTTCTGAAATAAAATACAATAGATCTATAAAATATCAATCATGAATATTAATACATATTAATCAACGTCAAAGAAGACAAATAAGGATCATGAATTAACTGAGTTGTTTGGGAAATATGAAAAGGATTCATGTCTTCTAGTAATAAATCAACTGATCAGATCAGAATTGAAATTAATATCCTTTCCAAGATTATTTTAATTTCAAATTTAATTGGTTTCTTTTTTTATAAGCCCTACGGACTACTGAAGGGGCCTACCAACTACTGAAGGGGCCTACCGACTACTGAAGGGGATGACTGAGTTTTCTTCCAGGGAGTGCTCACACAAATATTCTGCTATGAAATTTTAAAGACATTCATTCAATGAATCAACTTATATTGAAAAATAAACAAACCGGTCGAATATTCGATTAGAATAATGATTTAGAATATTCAAATAGAATTAAAATAATGATTTAGAATATTCAAATAGAATTAAAACAATGATTTAGAATATTCAAATAGAATTAAAATAATGATTTAGAATATTCAAATAGAATTAAAATAATGATTTAGAATATTCAAATAGAATTAAAATAATGATTTAGAATATTCAAATAGAATTAAAATAATGATTTAGAATATTCAAATAGAATTAAAATAATGATTTAGAATATTCAAATAGAATTAAAATAATTATTTAGAATACTCCAATAATAAATTCTGCATTCGATGCGACCACTACTTTCAGAGCTAATGTTCTCACCCTATATATCCCCTTTGCTGGGTCACACTAGTGGATTTATCATTTAAATCCTCTCGGTTTTTGTGGTCACACAGTAAGTAGTGACACACTTTTGGTCATGTGACACAGCAGTATTGTAAATAAGTCTTTTCTCATGTTTATTGTAATCTTGAGATTAAATCGACCAAAGCATGCTTTGGCGGTTGAAATAAAAAAATAATTTTTTTTGTTTCGGCTCGATTGTGTTTAGAGCCAGACATCTTGAGGAAGTGCGCACTTGCATTTGATTGGTCAATAAATAGGACAAACCCAACATGAATAGGACTTGTCCTAAACCTAAGGATTTATCCAATGGCCAGACAATCTATAACCTCTCGGATAAATTTTCCAATTCTCATGAGAGGATCTAACTTATGGATATAAATTCTCTGATTAAATCCACTAGTGTGACTTGGCCTTTAACCTACATGTACATCACACATCACCCTTACATTTGAATGACAACATTGTTTACACTGAAAGAAACTAATGTCAATCTCAGCCTATTAATGTGGAAGCCAAAAATTGATTACAGCCAAAGGAATAAATCTGATATTCAGTATAAAGGAATAAAAACAAAACCCAAACAATTCTAATAAGATGGCTTTTTGTGTTATCTGATTGTATACATTACACACAATCTGGCTGAATTACAACAATCTCTAAGATCTTAAGATTCCAGGAATACATTTACATATTACATGGTTTTGAAATGAAGCCAAGTCTAAAAGACTGCAGTTTAAAAACACAAAAAAACAAAATACTTTCCAGTTTAAATTTTCAGTGATGGAGGGCAACCATGTGAAATACACAATCTTCCTTTCTTCCGATACCCAATATATAGAAGAGTTTAGAAAGGGGTTGGGGCTTTGTTAACATTAGGTAAAAAAAGTAAAGATTAAGCTATTTATTATGTAGGCCTACTGCCATTGGCATATTTTCCGTCGATATTAATTAGGCTTAACCCTTGTTAATGACCAAACTCGCAAAGTTGGGGTGGGGGGGGGGTATGCATGAGTTGTTTTAGGGGATTGAAGGGAAAGCGTATTACAGTTTTAATTTTAATAATCAAATTTGTAAATGGCGGATAATAAAATCGATACTTGAAAAGAAAAACAAAAAAAAACATTAGGTAAACGATTTGTGTAGATAAAAGAAACAAATAAAGGGGTTTTCCAGGAATATGAGAATATTTAAGACATAAATATCAGAGAGAGAGAGAGAGAGAGAGATATGGGGTTTAAGGTCCACTCGACACAAACTAGGTCATTTCGGAACTAACACATGGTTCAATTTTATTTCAATAAATCGCTTGTGTGTAGGGGTATTTAGCAGTGCGAGGCAACTGAAGGACCCAGAGAAAATCTACCAGGTTGGACAGGCAACCCTACTCCTTGGCATGTACAACTGGGGAATCGAAACCCCGCCAGTTGACTCAATAACAGACCTTATGATACAGCGTGCACGTGTTAACCATTCGGTCACCCAAACCCCCATGTGCCAGAAAAAATGACAGCCACCAAAGGGATTGTGCCTGACAGAGACTGAAGTTTGTGACAGGTACCTTATTTTCAGGTTTGAACATCGTCATCCCCTCCCCATTTAAGCCATAAATATCACATATTATTACACCAATATGTCATATTATAAGCCTACAAATATGATAGAATAATAATAAGCTTAAACTAATGACAGAAATAAATACAGTACAAAGGTCAATGAAATGATAAAAAGATCAATAGTGCACACTGTGATACATGAATATCAATAATAACATGTTAATAGTTATAATGTTTATAGGACTAAATAATGTGACATTTAATGATGTCATCATCACTTACCATCTTCTATAACCTCTGGCTGTAATGTTAACTGAACATCACTTAATTCCTTTAAACACAGCCAATCTCCATCCACGGACACACGGAAATTACACAAATATATCGTCTCCTCCGCCATGTGGAATTACGACCACACGCCAATATGGCTTCTATATAAGCTTATGTACCTGTCTGACAGACAGACGTCCAGGCAAATGAATGCCAGCTTCGCGGATTTCACATCTCAAATTTAACTATTTTTTCTCCCAACCAGCATAACTGGCTACCTCAGTATTTAAATTATCAACCAGTTATTTCAGAAATAACTAAGAATCACTAATAATTATAGGAAAATTCCAGTAAATTCTGAAATGCCTGCATGCAATGGATTCCACTGGTTATTATTGATTCTTGGATCTCTAACACACACACACACACACTATGATTATACCATATGTAGGTCACATTAATTAATTATTACTGTTGTATCTCCTTAGTTAAAATGGTTGACAACATATGTGAATTTGTTTATAAATTAAAATGAAAAATGTAATTCAAGTAAATATATAATTATATTTTATTTTTTTTGCTATCAGGATGTGTGATTGTGATTTTTTTTGTTTAGTTGGGTATTACATAGGCAAAGGGAGATAACTCCAATTAAGTTAATCGAGAAAATAACAGAAAAGTCATGCCTGGGTGTCAAAATTAAATCTTATATATCATATCAAATAAAATGAGTTTTTATTAAATTCTAACTTTCTTTGACACATAATATATAAGGATAATCACTTATTTTTTTTATCATAAATAATTTAAAGGAACTAACTTAATCTTTAACAAAGTTGTAAAATCATGTTTATTGCTTTATTTTGTGCCCTAACCTTGATAATATTTTGTTAGATTGAAATACTCTGAAAGAAAACAAAACAAAAGGGTCTAAATTTCTTTCATAAATAAGTCATGACAGCAAAAAGGAACAAACAAATAAAAATATAATACTGGTACTTTAAAAATGCTTGATTGCGTGCATTTTGTTTATATTTCTGACATTTGATTGTAGGGGAGGGGTTAGGGTATCTCTCCAGTAACCACACTAAAATTATCCTATCAGTAGATTTTTATTTAATATTTGGACATAGCTAATGTATGAGAATAATGAATTAATGAATTACATTTTCGCTTTTTAAGAACATGAGGAGCTTTTTTTTAACATTGTAATGCATATACCTTTTCAGATATATCACGATTAATGCCAGCCCCTGAGACATAAATGGTTACAAAAAAAAACATTCTCCCTTCAATGTATGGTACTACTTAAATCCAAAGCTCACTATAATAGGCACTTCCTGCCCAAATCTGATCAATGTAGAACAGGCCTACATACATGTATGTACAGTAATTAATCTCTATAATTCTGTTTACTTTCCAGATCTAATCAGATCAATGCCCCCTTTATCCATTCAAAAACATAAATAAGAATACCCAGTGTGGTTGGATAGAATTACCCAGTAGATTTATTATTTGAGTGAAAGAGTGCAGAATGCTTATGCGGATTTATGTGTATCTTTAGCTAGATCTATTTGTTATGGCCAGCCCAATTTTTGTCAACGTCGTTGAGATGTAAATAAGGTTAGGGCACGTGATTGTTAGCAAGATTGTAGGTTAGGGTTAGGGTAAGCACTGGGGCTAGGTCCAGTGTTAGGATTAGGGTTTGGATTAATTAGCGCTAGCCCTGTTTACATCACATGACATATGACAAAAAATTGAGCTGGCCTTATCATTTAGCACTAACCATGTATCTTTTGCAAATCGCTGATGTATGTGTATCCACTCCAAAATGCATAGGCTTATTTTTATTAATAAAATAAAAAAACACATGGCATCTTAAAACAATTTAAAACTGCATAACTGAAATCAAATCATGGAAATCTTTACTTAATAGGTTTTTACATCCAACCAGACGTTAAAAAGTTAAATAGATTTCCCTGACATTTTTTCTTCTTTCACTCAAGAATAAGTTTAGTCATATCCTGGTGGAAGGATGTGGAATATTTAACTATCTTGCTATGGCTGAAAGGTGATTTATATGACTGACTTGTAGAGAGTAATTTTATTTAATTTTCAGTAACTGAACTTCTTACTCATATATCAACTCCCTGATGTATACTTAATTAATCCTTTTCAAAATGATTGTAATGTAATAATCAACAACAAATGGAAGTTTATTAGACAATTATAAATTTGTACGTCATTACAGTCAATAACGGCTGATTTCACACATCTATATCATTTTCCTCTGTTTAACATTAGTCCATAGCATTGTGGAGTATCGACACGTTTTTCAAGAAGAAAATGATCACTTATCATTGTGGATTGAGCATAGCCATTTAAAACATTGAATTAAAGTAATGTTAAATAAATAGTAATGTTTATATGTATTTTACTGGAATATTTTACAGAAACAAATAATTACATCCAGCTGTTTCATGAATATAGTTTTCAGGGTCGATATAGACAAAAACTGAGAAAGGAATTTGTCGAGGTCAGAGTTAATAACAAAATGTTGTCTTGCACATAGTGCGAAGTCATGTGTTGACATTCAGTTTATTACAGTTATTTTAGAATCTGAATATGTAAGCTTACATTTTTTCATGACAGGTCTCCAATATTGAAGATCGATGCATTGGTCTTTTATTTAAAGCACGATTTGGGTAATTTTTTATATTTGGCAGATTCCACTCGGATTCTGATGTCATAATTTTTTTGAATCTTCGAAACGTTATGCAAAGCAGTCAGAGATTCATCAGAATAGAAAAATTTGATATTGATATGGATCAATATATAAGAAGTTTATCTGTATATCTATTGTGGATCATGTGTGATATGGTTGGTGTTGGATGATGATCGAAGATTAGCAGGTTCTAGTTACTGGAGCGACAAGCATACAAAGCCTGCAGACGTAATAACAATAATAATCATCAAATTGAATAGCACTGAGTGTTCCAGCTAATAAGCTCCTCCTGGACTCTCTTTACAATTAAATAACGTAAAACAATAAGTTTAAAACATTAAAAAATTAAAAGGTCAACATGTTCACAGTTTAAAAAGTTCCGTTTTAAGATTCTTTTTAAAAAAAGGAACATTAGGGGTGTTTATTACATGACCATGTAACTCATTCCATACTTTAGCAGACGCGTAAACAAAGGCTTGTTTAACAGTTTTAGTTTTTACTGTAGGAACATGAAGTGAAGTGAGTTTTTATCTTGTATCATTGGTATCCCGTACCGTGTGCCACACTGGGAACTGTGAAATAATCATATAATGTCTGCAGATTTGATGTGTTTTTATCATATGTTGTTAAATACAATATCCACAAAAGTATGCTAGATCCTATTCATGTGACATGTTGTACATATCCTGTACTAGAACTTTTTTGTGTTGTTTGTTTTTAGTTGTTGTTTTATTCATATTTTGGGAGTTTTTAATGTCATTTAGATACCTATCCCCCTGGTGTCTTTTATTCATCCATTCAGCAAACATACAACTTAGATAGAGTAAATGCATCTTACCTTCCGGCTTAGAATAGATTAGTAAAAGAAAGAGCAATGCCAGAGATAACATTATGTATTACGAAAATAATTCGTCTGCTAAATTTCTGCTGGTCATCAACAGTGAAAAATCACTGCAATAACCAACAAATATTAGTGACCTACTTTGATATCTAGGGTTTATTATGACTGGTTTTGGTTTCTCATCTTTAGGTGGTTCTTTGGGAGCTATGACAGGGCTAGGCCACTCTTCAGTTTTAGATGCATTGGCCAATTCTTCCTGCAAGCTCATCCCTCCCCCTGACAAAACTTCTGAAGTCGCCATTTTTTAGCCTCAAACAAAATTGTTTCAAAACAAAACAAGTCATTAATTAATTCTGAAAATACCTATTTATTTCTAATTGATTTCTATATAAATGGATACATAAATGTATAAAAGGACAAAAAAACTCAACGTACAATATTATTTTAACGTAATTTAGCATTTTATTAATCTCGGAAGATTCGTCAAGTTGCGAGATGTCGTCTGCAATGATCTGCAGATGGAAAGAAAATGCAACGTGTGTGAAACAAAAAGTGGAGATATTTAGACCGTGGCCGCGAAGAACCGCTAAATTTTATAAAACAGAGTGCAGACAAAGTTATACGTTGAACTTGGAAAGATTAATATGTTGATAAAACGGTCAGTTTGTGTCTTTACAACACATTTTAATCGAAATTTTTCAAAGAAACTTCTTGGGAATCAGAAAGTTCAAGTTGGTGATGATGCAACTGCAGGCTTCAGTTTAAGTCACAGATGTTTTCACAATACCCCAAGGTAGGTACTCTGTCTTTTTAGGACTCTAAAGGGCTTATTGCTCAAAAAATTTGACCTGGTATGGCAAGATAGGGAAAGAAAAAAAACACAAGAAAGTATCAATGATCATGATATTTTCAATTTTGTTCAACTTGAACTACTATAGCCTATAGGCAGTATAGGCCTAGTCTCTCATTGATGTGAACTACATTTTTATTTAAAGGAGCTAAATCACTAATATTTTGGACCTAGAAATTGGCACAAATGGGTCGCAACACATATAATAATGTAATATGAATAAACTGTTTAACATTCAATCGTGTCCGTTTTTTACTGTGAATTGTCATCAGTTATGTTCGGCGAAATATGCCAGAAGTCTCAACCGCAAGTCAGTTTCTAGCGTCTGGTTATTTCAGTCAACACCTATATATATTATTTATTGCGCATGCTCTCCAATTAAGAACATGATATCACCGTTTGACATGACTTTTGGAATATGTCTAGCCCCATTCTTTGAGCACCTTGTTACAAATGGCGCTAAAACGCATTATGGTACACGATTCGTGTACCAATGGTAAAATGTTTATTTTGTCCTAAATTGGATATCAGGACAGAAGCCCATCTTTTCCAGGTAAGATCACAACACCAATGCTGATTTAAATTGCAAACAAATTTGTCTTTTCAATGTCGAAGATTTTGGATGATTTGAGTTACGGACTTAGCTACTTTAAATTTTAATAATAGGTTAGGCCTACACATTATTAGGTGACATACTTCTAAATGATTTTAATGGTGATGGTATTAATAATAATTAATATGTAAAAACATAAGTTACACGGTTTTATTAATTAAATTGATTGGTAATGGTATAACCACCATTTGTATTATTAATTATGTAGACCAAATCTTCTTATTTTAGCAGCATATAATACACTTCCTTGTTTTTAAACAAAAGATGAAATTGCCTAGGCCTATAGCTCTATATTATATAATGAAAAAGCCTTGGCCTCTAACCTTAGATTATATAATGAGAAATAACTCAAATAGGTTAATGATATGCGCGCCGCGCCATAAACATTATGATAATAAGAATTACTAGGTTAAGTTATATAACTTGTTTTTTTGGGAGGGTTTCCCACATCAAGGACCTTTCAATAACAATTGATTTTCTGAATATATATTGGTACCAGAGTTTTTAGCTAATTACTAATTTAGTAAAAATAATAATACTATATGGTACATATTATTCTTAAATGATCATGGGTCTTTTGACTTTAATGTATAAGCTTAAGTATTTTCAGAGAATTGACAGTTGACATTGCCATGGGCAAAAATATAGTAATTTATTTATATAACTTTATGGACCATGGTTTGACCTAATTTTATTTTTTAAAAAAAACAAATAGGGGGCCAAAGGGTAGCTATGTAAACCAATTTTAAAAAGACTATATAGTTCATTACAGAATAAGTAGAAAAAAATGTTCTTACATATTTTAATTATTTTTACATATTAGTCTTTTATTCATATTGTAGTTTACCATGAGTTTAATAGTTTATTAAGGTGCAGCCATCATGGCATCTAGTCCAACCTATAATCTAGTGCCGTGCCAAATTAAAAACTATAATACAGACTTAACATGAATAAAAAATAAAAGCAAATTTTCTGCTGTAGTGTTTACTTTGATTTCCAAATTACTTCGGCAAAAATCTTTTGACACCAACTGGCAGATCACTATCACCATTCAGAAGACGACCACCATCAAAGCCGGTCGGATTTCATCTTTCTTGTAAATCATTTTTATTTTTTCAGTTTGAGTGAAGCCTGTATGTAATACAGTGGGTGGTTGCCACTGGCTCGGCCGCCCGGATCCATTCACTTGAATTGATATTTCTTGTTTATTTCATGCACTGTCTGCACTGTCTGGATAGTTTGTCTTGCCCACAGGTTTGTCTTATCGGAGGGTGGGGGTTGGATGGCCGAATGGTTAGCATGTGTGCGCGCTGTATCATACGGCCTTTCATTGAGTCAACTGGCGTGGTTTCGAATCCCCGGTTGTACGTGTCAAGGAGTAGGGTTGCCTGTCCAACCTCGTGGGTTTTCTCTGGGTCCTCCGGTTTCCTCCCACTGTTAAAGACCCCTACGTGCAAGCGAATTATTGAAATGAAATTAAACCATATGTTAGTCCTGAAATGACCTAGTTTGTGTCGAGTGGACATTAAACCCCATTTCTCTCTCTCTCTCCAGTTCTTCTATATTTGTTTCAGATGTAATGTGGCTAAATTGATCGATGGTAAAGCTATAGCCAAACAGATTAAAGATGAAGTAAAAGCAGAAGTTGATAAAATAATATCATTAGGTCAACGACCTCCACGGCTTACAGTTTTACTAGTCGGTGATAATGATGCTAGTGTTGTTTACGTTAAAAATAAAATAAAAGCTGCACAGTATACAGGTAAGAATCTGGGATCAGCCTACACTTTGTAATCTACTTCTTCTGGGTCAATCTGATTAAAACACAGATCCGATTTCGTTTCAATTTTTATAGTTAAATATTTCGTTTTACTTGTCTTTACAACACTAGTATCTGGAAGAGTTGTTATATAACCCGTGTTCTGATTGATGTGAGGGATTAATTAGCCAATGAAACAGTCTGTTACAGCGAGTTTTGGGCGTGCACGGAACTGTGGGTCACCCACTAGAAACATCAATGCTGATACATGTAGGTTTATCAAATGTCTGACATCATAGGGCCAAAAGCCACTTGTATGACCCCTAACATGACCTCCCACTACAACCGGGCAGATCTTCATGTAGTAGACACCACCGAAAGTATAAAAAAACGAATGAAATATAGATTTGTATTTTAATCAGATTGGTTCTTGGGGCGATCGATGCACTTTTAAAAAAAACCTCCAATGCTTTTTTGATTATAAGCAAGACAAATCCATTACCAGGTACTTTTAAAGTGGGATGCAGGTCTGTCTTTAGGCCTGAAATGTTATCTAAATTATCAATTAAACATTAATTAATTTATCCAGACCATAATCAACTCTTCATGTCAAAGCTAGCCTGCAATATTTACTGGATTAGGATCCTATTTGCTGCTTATCTTTCATTCACGATTTAATTATGAAATGAATAATTGAGACTATGTGTTTTATCGTACCAACTTTAGTAATGATGATTGAGGCTAGGCTGAAATTTTCAGCAAATTCCCTTTACGTTATCTAGTTTTTACCTATTATAATGAGAACTGCCAGCTCTTTATCTAATCTCCCATAATGTATCTTTAATTAAAGCCCTCATTTCATTTCAATTCTTTTTTTTTTTCTTTCTAGGGATTATAAGCGATACAATAAGACTACCGGATACAGTTAAAGAACATGAAGTAATAGAAGAAATAAACACTTTAAATAATGATCCTCTTTGTGATGGGTTACTGGTTCAACTTCCTGTTCCTCCCCATATAACTGAACGTCGAATCTGTGATGCTGTTGATCCAGAAAAAGATGTTGATGGTTTTAACATTTTGAATATTGGGCGATTTTGTGTCGATGAAGAGTCTTTTGTTCCTGCTACTCCAGCTGGTATCATGGAAATGTTACGAAGGCAAGGTTAGTGTAAGCACATAGTGATAAATGTTCAGGCCTGGAAATAACAGTTTTAAATGTACCTGACATAATGTCAGGAACTTATAAAATAGTACCTGACATTTTCAACTTAATGATATGGAGGTTTACTATGTAAAGTTGTATGATATATGATATGGAGGTTTACAATGTAAAGATATATTGATGATATGGAGGTTTACAATGTAAAGATATATTGATGATATGGAGGTTTACAATGTAAAGATATATTGATGATATGGAGGTTTACAATGTAAAGATATATTGATGATATGGAGGTTTAATGTATAAGATGTATATGTATGATATGGGCCATGGGGTTTACTGTTCAAAGATCATGTATAAATATAGAACTCAAAGTTCTGATGTATCATTGATATTTTTCACTAAAATATGAAATTTCTTTGTGGCTTAATCCATGCATCAGGACTTCAAATGTAGTTATCAGATTTAACATCCATGACTATTGATCTTAAGTTTCTGTGAATATTGGCCTAGAATAAGCTAATGCCAATTTGTGATTGTTTGTACTTTTAGGTGTTGAAACATTTGGTAAGAATGCTGTAGTTATTGGAAGATCTAAGAATGTTGGTATGCCAATAGCTATGTATTTACATGCTGATGGTGAACATGGAAATAAAGCAGGTTTGTTTATTTCTACTTCTGTGCTTATTATTTTACTACTAAGGATGGGCAGTGGGCGTTAAACCCCATTTATCTCTCTCTCTCTAAGGATGGGCATCAAGTTTTCAAGTGGGCTTGGGGAGGGGGGGGGGGGAGTGGCCAGGCACAAGTGTTGAAATGAAATGAAATGAATTAAATTGATATGGGGTTTATAAAACGTCTTACTGTTCTGCTCCTAAACTGGGCCAATGAAGAGGGGCATGCGCCATACAGTGTGCTATGAGGGAAATTATGCCCGGGCGCTGGCTCTATGGCCTACTCTTATATCGATTTCCAACTGGCAAGGGATCTTTTACGTGCATGCCAATGTATACACGGGACCTCGTTTTTTTGCCCCATCCAAACGACTAGACAGCTGTCCTGCACCACTGACAAGGGGAAACCACGTCAGAAAATCCTGATGAACTTTCTCGGCCAATGCAGGGATCGAACACGCGGCCTCCAGGCTAGCGAGCCAGTGTCTTACTCACTTAGCCACCGTGGCTCCCACATGTCGACATTTTACCTAGCTCATGTTGAGACTAACATGTTATTTGTTATTGTGTATTTAATTTGTTATTGTGTATTTAATTTGTTATTGTGTATTTAATCTATCATTGTGTATTTAATTTGTTATTGTGTATTTAATTTGTTATTGTGTATTTAATTTATTGTTTAATTTGTTATTGTGTATTTAATTTATTGTTTAATTTGTTATTGTGTATTTAATTTGTTTAATTTGTTATTGTGTATTTAATTTGTTAAACTAGGTGATGCAACTGTTACAATATGTCATCGTTACACGCCGCCAGAACAGTTAAAAGTTTTTACAAAAACGGCTGATATAATAGTCAGTGCCACAGGTATACCAAATCTAGTAACTGCCGATATGGTGAAAGAAGGCGTGACCGTTATAGATGTAGGTATTACCAGAATAACAGACCCACAGACTGGTAAATCAAAACTTGTAGGAGATGTTGACTTTGAAGGTATGTAATACTTAATTATGTAGTTTTATCAATCATGTTTAGATTGCACACTGTATACATGAATCTACTACAAAACTTCTGTCATTCTGGTACGGTCATGGGTATATATACCAGTCATTGTTGTTTGTATTTCAGAGGAGAGCCAAAAATCGCTCCCCTCAAAAAACTCTCCCAGATTTGATAAGATGAGTGATTTAGAAATTAAGGAGAGTGATCTGATATTAAGGAGAGTGATTAGTTATGTGCATGGGAAATGGTTCTAAGATCAATAACTGCATGTAATGGGGTCATTCCTGCTATCATAAATGATAATAAACCCCCAATGACTATGTAAAGGAGAGCGATTTCAGTTTTAAGGGGAGGGAAAAAAACTCCCCTCGGTCTACATTCAGGTGCTCGAGGGCGACTTTTGCCTTAAAAAAACAATGACTGTTTATACCCTATGCCCACTTCAACTGAGCACTCCAAAATTGATATTGGCTATTATATTGTTCCTTTTGTTTTTTTTCCAATATCAGTTAATCTGTAAAATTTATTAGTTTTCAGAGTATTAGACAACCATCATAACTAGTATATTCGTGCATATCGGACCGTAACTCCCAGGATCACGGCCCCAGATTGTACAAAAAATCATATTTTTTTTTATCTTGTTCTCTGTCCATCTCTTGCAATATCTGGGCGTATCTTGCCTGGCAACCGCTGGTTTCCAATATCATGTACTAGTTATGATATTGTCTGATATATTGTCAGTATTTATTAGTTTTCAGAGTATCAGACAATATCAGAACTAGTACATGACAATATATCACCATACACTGTAATCCAGGTATCATTTAATCTTGTGTATCTAGCACTAATTTCTTTCACATTTGTTTAATATCAGATCTTTGTTTAAAAATTCGTAAAAATCTTTTAAAATCACCAATAATCATCTAATTTGTACATGTGTCCAGTTTAAAGCTGACCATTCAATTTTGATAATGAGTGTCCAATTCACAAGTGTTTAATTTCTCAATCACTGTTGAAAAATAAACAACCCAATTGATTAATGATGTATAATGATTAATGTTTGGTCGTCTGTCCAACCTCTTGGATTATTTCCAGGACCTCAGATTTTTACCCACAGCTGAAGACCACGAAATGTGTATTCAAATACACTAGTCCGGAAATTACCTAATTTGTGTCAGGTGGACGTTATACTCCATTTCTCTCTCTAATAGATAACAGAGAGTTGAACCGATATAATTACCAATTAATTAATATTACCTGGGTTTTTTTCAGGTGTACGAGAGAAGGCAGCTCATATAACACCAGTACCTGGCGGAGTCGGACCATTAACGGTGGCTATGTTAATGAAGAACACACTGACAGCTTATCAAAAGTACAGCAAATATACCAAAAACACTTGATGATGGAACAGATATTGGTTGGATTCATTTTTTTATAGGTTTTAAAACTTTTTAGGAAATTTTTGTTGTATAAACTGAGATTTTAGAAAATTTACAATGATCACAAAAAAAAAGTTGATCCATTTTTACTAGTACTCGTCGATTTAAAATCATTTGTACCTTCCATGTTTAACAATGGCAGCTCCCTGTTGTCACGGAAACATTAAATTAAGATATATTAAACGTACAATATTCCAGGCCCCGAGTTCACAAAGCATTCTCAGACTTAGTAAGGAATTTACTCAAACTTGAGAATTTACTCAAACTTGTTCACCTTATTTTAACTAAAATATAGCCCTTTATAAAACTTTTGTTGTTTTAATGTATCAAATACATCAATAAGAAACTAGGTGCAAAGTTTTGTGTTTCTAGATCAAAGATATTTCTCATAAATAGTGAATAAAAGTTGAGTAAATTCTTAACTTATGTCTGAGTATACTTGGGAAGTCGGGGCCAGACTAAAAACCAAATAGATTTTAAGACAATACACAGTATAAAGTAGTCTTGCTGTATCATGTTGTTTTATATTAAATTGATTCCGTATTTTACTTGGACCATGACAAAAACATACATTTCCAATTCATTTAATAATAGATTAATTTTTTATATATATTTCAATTATTGTCCATTCCCCCATCTTTAACTGATCAATATTTACCCGTACTTTTTTTTCTAGCAGCCACACCCAATCTAGGTCTTTGGGGTGCCACAGCAGTTTTGGGCACTCTCGAGAGCTCTAGTTTGGGGCAGTCGAAGTGCTAAAGAGTTTATTCCAAATGATTTTATTTTCAATTTAAGTAATTGAAAGTTTCTTTTAACCCTTTAGCAATACTTGAAAATATTGACTGCCCTGGTGTTTCTTTAAACCTACATTATGCAAGAGCTAAATCTGCTTATTGCAGGACTTTCTTAAGGCTTGAAAAGTTATATAAACTATTAAATGGACTTTTATTAACATGTCAAAACCATAATGAACTCTTAATGCCATTGGATATTGGCGATATAAAGTAGATTAGAACGGTTGAGCCATATTTTGATGTAATCTAAATATGGTGAAGCGAGGCTAAGCTTCGAACAACCAGTTCATTAATGCACACATCTTGTCAAACCTTCAAAAGCTAATATCTTCGCTCGCAATGGAGCAATTTGAACGAAATTTTCAATAAATTCATATTGCATTATCTATTTTCGAACTGTTATAGTAAGAATGGCCAGCTCCTTATCTAAATCTTACATAATGTATCTTTAAATAATGTTTTCTTATAAAATGTTAAATAGTCAATTAAATATTCAGCGTGGATTAAGCCGTGAGACATTTTGTATTTTAGCGAAAATGCAAATGACGCACCAAGCCTTTAACATTGTACTTTTTATGTATCCCTAATTACTTACCTAGTGGTATTGTCTTGATCGTAGCTTTGTCGTACTGTTAGCATATACAAATCACACATTGACTTTTGGGAAGTATAGGCACATTGTGAATGTCATTTTTTCTTTTAACTAGTCATAAGACCTTCGAAACGTCCATATATGGCCTGTGCACTATATACAAAACTTTTGTAGAATCCACATCCAACAGGAATATGAAAACAATGGAATGGAGGATCCGATACGGAAGTGTCCTTCACTAGATAAATATACAAGTTGAATTATATTCATTCTGTCTAGTTTCAGTGGAAATAGTTTTGGCTTGAAAGATCAAGAAAAATTTAATACTCAATTTGAGCCACGTAATTATATTAAAGAACAAATAAGATGTGAAATTCTGAAAAAATACCGAACATAAATTATAAAAATTGTTATTGTTTCATTGATTAAATTAACAAATATGTGTATAAAAAAACTATATTATTTTTAATCATGACCATGTCCCAGAATCTCAGAATAGTATTAGATATATTTGTTTTATTTTGTTTGTTAGATTTATTACGTTCATGTGTTCTTACAGAATATGTTTATGGCTTTTAGTAAATGTTTATTTCATTTTTTATGTTCATGTGTTCTTACAGAGTATGTTTATGGATTTTAGTAAATGTTTATAACATTTATTATGTTCATGTGTTCTTACAGATAGAGTAGGTTTATGGTTTTTAGTAAATGTTTTAGTTTTGTTTAGTTATAGTTCTATGTTTTGGGATAGTATACACAATATTGTCATGCAATTGTCTAAGTAGTTATAACCAAAACTTATGTAGAATCCGCGTCCAACATGAAATGAAAACAATGGATAGAAGGATCCGATACGGAAGTGTCCTTCACTAGATAAATATTAAACATTTAAAAATAATCTAGAGATACATGATTACAGACATAACTCATAATAACATGGAAATTATCTCCCTTTTGGAACAAACTAGAGATTATTTTTAAATGTTTTATTATATTACCTTGAAGAAGAAGAGGGTACCTCTTCGAAACGTTAGTCTAACAATATCTGAGGATGAAAACAGTGTTAGTGTCTCTGTTGTTTATCTACTTTAATATTTATAACTCGTGAGAAAATTTTGCACTTTGAAGTCCACTTGTAGATGAATATTATTTAAAATTCTATTTCCTATTGACAAGTCATATTTTGCTCCTTGCAAAGTTTCTTAAGGACTAAAAATTAGTCAATAAACCCCCGATTGAAAATTTTTGCGATTTTCAATCAGATTTGTTATTAAAATTGTTAATAATTTTACTTTTTATTCTTAACTATCAGTAGGAGCTAGAAAAGCCAACCCAAAATTTTTTTTGAAGTTTTGACTGCCACTGGTTATACCCTAGTATCACTACGTAGAAAATTGCTTCTCTAAAGCAATATTTATTTTAACCCTCTGTATTTTAGATTTTATTCTATTAAAATTGTAAATGTTCAGTTCAGTGTATTGGAAAAAGTTTGTTAAAGTTTAAAGCCTAAGTTTTGTGAGTTAACATTATTTTCTTAAAGAGAAGCATTTTCATGTCAGTGATATTTTAATTTTCTTTTTTACTTGTGTATAAAGATTAAGGTCACCAGAAAAGCTTCATAAATTTTTTAAATAATACAAGTAATTATGTCAACATATCCCTTTCCATAAGTATAACGCGATCGCGAATGTCAATATTACCCGCAACAGGTAAATTTCAACGTTAGTAATTTCCGCCGTTCTCCTTGGGTAGTTGTCTTAATAAATAAACAATTAAACTGTCACAGATTGGGGTTTTTTTTGACAGAAGTTATGACTGCCCACGGAGAACAACAGAAATTGCTAACGTTGAAATTTACTTGTTGCGGGTAATATTGACATTTGGGGTCATGTTAGGAAAGGATATGTTGACATAATTACTTGTATTATTTAAACAACATTTGACGTTTTTCCGGTGACCATTAAGATGTTCATATTTTTAGGTTGTGTACAAATTAAAAGGCCATATGGTGAATGTGATAATTTACATGTACAACCAACCAGTTTATTTCTTAATATTTATATTTGATCAATACTCAATCATCATGACTTTCTCCTTGGTTCTCTACCATGCCATAGTGCTAGGTATTGCCACTGCAGTCACGATACAATAGGTATTGCAATTCAGGTGCTACGATTCAATTCGTATCACGATTCATAACCAGATCAATATTTACCAAGAAAACAACAGGCGTTTACTTGTCAGGGGTGGTAAGACAAAAAAGGACAGTGCACCTAGTTTTTCAGATGGAACAAAAAGAAAAAAAAAACATGGTCCAACCAGGTAAACCCTGGTGTACACGCAAGACAACTATTGACAGTTGAAACATGTAGTAACTTCTTATAAGTGGCATTTAGTAATTGAACAGTAACACATTTACACTATTTTTTGCTTGATAAAGACAAGAGTATCATCGTCGAAACATTGCATGTTAATAAACCAGTAATTGTTATTCCATAAATAGTGTTAGTGTGTGATGTAGTAATGTAGGACGTTAAACCCCATTTTGATTTATTTCTGAACAATATAGGTAGTAGGTAACTTATAGGAGTAGAAACCAGGGAAGAAGGAGAAGGTCAAGATGATACTAAATGAACATAAATACATGTCATATTTTATTTTTGTTTTAATATTATTATATGTTAAAAGATTATTTACTGGTATCGGCATATATATATATATATATATATATATATATATATATATATAGGTAAACATTATATATAATATAAAAACACACCAGTCTACATCACGGGTGGCCAACCTTTTACATACCATGTTCCAATTTATTTTCAACACATGCATTCAGATGCACCATACAACTCTTGTCCTCATGTCTCCTTGTAAATATATGGTTTTAAAATACAGATGTGACGTCACCCTTTGATGTTGGGTACCATTATTTCAAATAATCAATCGTACAGGCAACTTGCCAATCGTACATTATTTATACTAGTGAAATATTGGACTCGCGTGACGTATTTCACTGTAAAAGCATGTGCGGAGTTGTCTGTATTTTAAGTCGTTTAATGGTCTCGAGCTCAAGACATTGCGTAATATATTGTAAAAACACTTGGGCCTACTGCCCTCTTGTTGTTACAATCAAGCCTGAAAATTAGGCACCTGTCACTGACAATGTCAGGCACAGATTCAGGCGTTGTCACTTGTCATGCACAAAACCTCTGGTGCCTGTCATTTTGTTCGGCACTGATTTGTCTTTTTTATTGATATTATTAATAGTTAATACACGTCCGGCACTTAAGTTGAAAATGTCAGGTACTATTTCATTAGTGCCTGACATTTTGTCAGGTACATCTAAAACCATTATTTCCAGGATTGGTTACAATATATTAATTAATGTCACGCTCTCGACCATTAAACAATACATAATAGACATAATTAGTATTTTTACCGGACGATTATAAGTCAATTTATCCTAGTCTGATTCATTAAATCACATCTTTAAAATGAAAACAGGTTAATATGAAAGAAGATAACATTCCCTGAAAAATAAAAAAATAAGTAGGTTTCCTGTCTTACTTTGATATTATCACAGGGATGCAATATACCACTTTTAATTATCTTATGCACCACCCACTGTGGCTAAGAGGGTAAGACGCTGGCTCGCTAGCATGGAGGTTATGTGTTCGATCCCTGCATTGGCTGAGAAAGTTCATCCAGATTTCCTGACGTGGTTTCGCCCTTGTCAGTGGTGCAGGACGGAGGGCCTGGCAAGAACAGCTGTCTAGTCATTCGGATGATATGAAAAAAATGAGGTCCTGTGTATACATTGGCATGCACATAAAAGATCTCTTGGTAGTTGGAATTCGATATAAGAGTAGGCCGGAGTGCTGCTATCCGGGCTAAATTACCCTCATAGAACACTGTATAGCATATGCCCGTCTTCATCAGCCCAGTCAAACCAGAACAGTAGGACGTTAAACCCCATTTCATTTCATTTCATTTTATCCAATGCGCCATAATTGGATATGTGTCGTAGGTTGGCCATCCCTGGTCTAATGTACAGAATGATAAGTTAGTAGTGTTCCAAGAAAATTAAGATGATAAAAATATATATTCTGTTTCTTTTTAAATGTTATTATATATTCAACAGATAATTAAGATGATACAAATATATTCTGTTTCTTTTTAAATGTTATTATATATTCAACATATACTATTCAAAAAAAGTAGGGGATATTTGATTTTGGGGGCATAATACTAAAATATGCAAATGACTACGAAAAAAGTCACTATAGAACCTAACAGAAGAAACATTTCCAGTTACATGTGACGCCCAAACGCACCAATAGCTACCGCATGGAATGCAGGTGATGCTTGGGATCATCATGGGGGTCCAACCCAAGATTTGCACGACTCTGACTTTGAATGTTACAGTCATTGTGGCATTGAATTCCAGGGTGGAAACATCAGTTTAATTGTTTTAGTGACCAGAAAACAAATTTTGATATGCGTCGGCTTACCCAAAATGAAAGGTTACGTGCCCTTGGCATGCTACAGATCGGCACAACACAGGCGGTTGTGGCGCGGACGATGAATGTTTCTCAGTCTGTCATAAGCAGGCTATGGTCCAGATACCGTGATACACAATCTGTACAGGACAGACCACGCTCAGGTCGACCAAGGGCGACAACTCAGCCCAGGATCGATTTATCCGTACCTTGGCCTTGAGAAATCGTGTCATCACAGCAAATCAGATCAGCGCTCGTCTTCAAACAGACACTGGTGTGAGAGTGAGTGGCCAGACGATTCGGAATCGACTGCATAGGGGTCACCTTCGCGCCCGACGTCCTCGCGTGATCCCTTGTTTGAGAGATCATCACATTCAGGCAAGACGTCGTTGGTGTAGGGATCGTCAACACTGGGATAATCGACGCTGGAGCAATGTGATGTTTTCAGATGAGTCAAGGTTCACTGTTGATTTTTTGGACAGACGTAGGAGGGTATGGCGTCGTCGAAACGAGCGCTTCCAAGACGTTAACGTCATCAGACATGATCGATTTGGGGGTGGTTCTGTTATGGTGTGGGGAGGCATCACTGTTGCTGGAAGAACGGCTTTACATGTTGTTGCAGGGCGTGTTACAGGCCAGTACTACCGGGACAACATCTTGGCAGTCCATGTTGTGCCGTTCGCACGACGTCATGGCCGCCGTTTCATCTTCCAGGATGACAACGCAAGATGTCACAGGGCCAGGATCGTTACAGGTTACCTCCAACAACAGAACATCACCACATTACCTTGGCCAGCACTGAGTCCCGACCTCTCCCCCATCGAGCATGTCTGGGACATGCTTGGACAGAGGTTACGTCAACGTCAACAAAGTCCTGCCATTGTCCAAGAACTTGCTGCTGCGTTGCAACAGGAATGGGACAATCTGGACCAAAATGACCTTAGACGTCTCATTAGGAGTATGCCACGTCGGATCAATGCTTGTTTGGCAAACAGAGGAGGATTTACCCGTTACTGACTTGGTTGTGATGCTGTGGTAACTTTGCTGTTTGACCCCGGCTATCATTTTACCCTTATAATGGTCAGTCTGTGCCTTACTTAGTCTAACGATCATTTGGAATAAATCGATGAATGTGAACTTCATTTCATTTTGTCATTTGTTTCTTCGTCAGTTTCATTAGGTGACTTTAATAACACTTAAAAATCAAATATCCCCTACTTTTTTTGAATAGTATATAAAGAATTGTATGTATTCATACATATATGTCATATATTTTATTTTTTTGGATATTATATATTCAAGATATTAAAGAATTGTATGTATACACAGCACATAATAAAAGAATATAGAATAAATTAGAAACACATTGATCTGCTTTTATTTGTTATGTGTGGGTGTCAGTGATTCAAGTGGTGGAGAAGCCATTCATGGTGGCTTGGTTAGGAAGCTAGACGCTTGCTCTGCACTACCAGGGGTGTCAAGGATGCTTGTGTTGGGAGTTTAATTCGATGCCTTTACGTGACAAGTAGTAGTGCTGTCTTCATAATCTTGCCACTTTTCTATGCAGTCTCTAATTATCTGCCACTAACAGGGTCGGCACCTGTATGCAGAGAATTACTGAATATACCATATTGATCCGACACAAACCTTTGGACTTGCCCAAATCATACCTACATGTACCTTCCATATAAGCACTTGGTCAGGATGAAAACGCCATTCTCTCTCAAACATAACAAAATCAAATGTCCAAAAGCCTATAGAATACTCATTAGAGTTCATTAAGTGGCTTGGTTTCGGTTCCCAGGTTGTACATGACAAGGAGTAGGGTAGAGTCACTTGTTCAACCTCAAGCGTTTTCTCCACTGCTAAGACCCTACATCCACAGAGATTTGCGAGTCAACATGAGCATCTTAAGGCACAGTTTTACAGTTACAATGTACATAAAAATGTCCTCTAGCACTGGATCAAGTTAGCCCCAAAGCGAGAGATTTGGGTGTATGCTTCCTGCCTTTAGATTGCAATATAATACCTTGAAGAATAGAAATTAATTTTAAATCAACAGATTGTTCAACATCGACATAATACTCTAGTGTTGGATCATCTGAAGCTCCGATCGTCCATGCAAGAATATTAAATAATTTTATTGGAATCGCTGACTTAGCATTTTCAATAGTGATATCAGAAGCATGTTTACGCCAAGGTCCTTCATAACCACTTGTTTTTAAAAATTCACCACGTAATTTCATTGCTGATGTATAGAGACAGTGTAAAGCGTCGTCATCAAAATTCTGTGTATTTTGTACACGAGTTTCTGAACACGATGACTCCATCTCAGTCTCCGTCCTTTCACTGGTCGATGATTTAAATTTTTCCACATGTGATATTTCTTCAACAAAGACCATATCACTTTTAACACGTTTAGCAGGTCTGTGAAACACTAACTGTGGGAATTGGACCCGTAATCTTTTCTTCAGTTCTAAGGACCTAAAAATACAAATTTAAAATCTAAGATAGGTACAACAAAATCACACCAGGTAAAAAGATAGTCATGCAAGGCGTAGAAATACACCCACACATAGGCTATGTCTAAAGTACAGCTTAACCTAAAAGAAATGTTATCTCTATCATGTTCGCAAAGTTGTCCGGACACATTTTAATGCACATCAACAAAGAAAGAGGACTTAACATCTACTCGACACAAACTAGGCCATTTCAGGACTAACAAATGGTTCAATTTTATTTCAATAATTCACTTGTGTGTAATTGTCTTTAACAGTGGGAGGAAACTGGAGGATGCGGAGAACACCCACAAGGTTGGACAGGCGACACTACTCCTTGTCACGTACAACCGGGGAATCAAATCAACGCTAGTTAACTCAATGACAGGCAACCCTACTCCTTGTCACGTACAACCGGGGAATCAAATCAACGCTAGTTAACTCAATGACAGGCAACCCTACTCCTTGTCACGTACAACCAGAGAATCAAAACCATGCCAGTTGACTCAATGACAGATCTTATGATACAACGAACACGTGCTAACCATTCGGCCATCCAAAGCCCCCTGTGAACAAGGAATAAGCATGTGGACAATGCCAGGACAGCAAAACCAGTTTGGGCAAAAAATTCAGAAAAAAACATGTACCTGAAATTGGAAGCATCCAATTTTTCAATCTTGAGAACCATTTTTTTAAATATATCAAGGAGCTTTGACATATATAAAATCTCATCTCCATGAATTATTCTGGTGCGTACCACATCTTGCCCAAAAACTTCAAAGGTTTTTCGATATGTGGCTGCCTCGGCTTCACTTCTGCAATATAAATTTCAATATACTACGTGTATATCATGATTCAGAGAGAAAGAGAGAAATGGGGTTTAGCGTCCACACGACAAAAACTAGGTCATTTCGTGACTAACACATAATTCATTTGCATGTAGGGGGTCTTTAGTAGTGGGAGGAAACCGGAGAAAACCCACGAGGTTGGACAGGCGACCCTACTCCTTGTCATGTACATCCCGGAAGTCTAAACCACGCCAGCTTACTTAATGACAGACCTAATGATACAGTGCATATGCACTAACCATTCGACCATCCAACCCACCAAGAAACACACCAGATGACTTAATGTCAGACCTTATGATACAGCACGTATGCACTAAGGATTCAGCCATCCAACCCCCAAGAATGCATATAATACATGTACACGTAGTTTAGAGACACATTATGGGCTAAACCACGCCAGCTTACTTAATGACAGACCTAATGATACAGTGCATATGCACTAACCATTCGACCATCCAACCCACCAAGAAACACACCAGATGACTTAATGTCAGACCTTATGATACAGCACGTATGCACTAAGGATTCAGCCATCCAACCCCCAAGAATGCATATAATACATGTACACGTAGTTTAGAGACACATTATGGGAGATTAGATAAAGAGCTGGCAGTTCTCACTACAGGGGCGGATCCGAAGGGGGTTTAGGGGGTCGAACCCCCAACCCTCCCCCCCTTCTCAGCTACATAATTTTTTTTCTAAATCAACACTTTTTATGAGAAAAGTTTCTTGGGTCTGAGCTTTATCCTTTATCGTCAGATGTGGGACAGGATGGGCACTCAAAGCACGAGATAATGATATAGACATTATGTGATATCACAATTAATGCTTTGCATCCATGAAATTGAATCACAATGTCATTGTATTAATTCATAATAAAAGGTGTTGAATTTCTCTGTTTAAAAAGCTCAGTGTGTATGTATATACGCCAAAATGACGATAGAGAACATTCACTGACTCAGGAACCTGGCAAACCCCCTCCTGCAAAAATTCCTGCACTATAATAGTTAAAAACTAGATAATGTAAAGGGAATTTGCTGAAAATTTTCGAGCTAGCCTCGATCATCATTAATAAAGTTGGTACGATAAAAAACGGTCTCGATTATCCATTTCATAAAATGACAACTTTATGGATAACATTCACTAGGTTTATTAACTGCAACGTTTCATCCTCATTTTATTATATATCCCGTTCACTAAATGCCCTTCAAAGATATCCATTTCATGTTACAATCATGAATGAAAGTTGAGCAGAAAATCTGATCCTAATCCAGCAAATATCGCAGGCTAACGGCGACATCGAGTGTTGATTATGGTCTGGAAAAGTTAATTCATGTCTAATTAATAATTTAGATAACATTTCAGGCCTAAAGAAAGACCTGCAATAGGCAGATTTAGCTCTTGTATAATGTATGTTTAAGTAAAGGCCAATTCACACTGATAAAGTGCAATAAACAAGGACTGCGGTAGCCAATATAGTTGAAGTAATTAAAATTAATACAAGAAATCACAATCTGATTAAAACACAAATCCTATTTCGTTTCGTTTTTATAGTTCAACATTTCGTTTTACTTGTCTTTACTACACTAGGATCTGGAAGAGTTGTTATATAGTAACATCAATGCTGATTGGTTAATCAAATGTCTGACGTGACAGGGTCAAAAGTCGCTCGTATGACCCCTGACGGGACCTATCGCTACAACCGGGCAGATCTTCATGTAGTGTAGGCCATCGAAAGTATAAAAAAAACGAAATGAAATATAGATCTGTATTTTAATCAGATTGAAGAAATCAGGAAACTCACACATTGTAAGACTTTCTGGAGATAAATCTTACATATTTCTTGTAACAATATTGATGATATTGAACTTCAATGGCTACACAATCTTTACCTCGAATGTGTTTTAAAATAGACTCATCTTCTTTCTTTGTAGCAGCTTCTCGTAGCAAACCTGGGTTTATAAAAAAAGAAAGAAAATGATAATGTTCAAATATATCTTTCCGGCGTGGTTTTCCCTTGTCAGTGATGCAGGATGAAGGGCCTCACAAGGACAGCTGTCTAGTTGTTTGAATAGGACGAAAAAACAACGTCCTGTGTATACATATGCGTGCACGTAAAAGATCCCTTGACAGTTGGAATTTGATATAAGAGAAGGCTGTAGTGCCGCTGCCCGGGCAAAATTCCCCTCATAGCACACTGTATGGTGTATGCCTGTCTTCAATAGACCAGTATAGGAGCAAAACAGTAGGACGTTAAACCCCATTTTATTTCATTTCAGATATATCCGGAAACTTAAAGGGGCTAAATATCTAACTCAATATTTTCTATAATATTTGAAATTAAAAACATGTATTAAATTCAATACAATTTCAATCAATTATACTGATGTTGTTATCTTACCATGAAACTAGGATCCTATATATAATATCCAATATTTAAGACACCAGTTTAACATCCACTCGACACAAACTACATGTAGGTCATTTTGGGGCTAACTAAGAAAGTTTGAGCTTTTTACTGATACAACAACTGTAATGGTTTCGTCCAACACGTGACGAAAGCCATATGTTGTCTTCGACTTTGTAAAATATAAGTAAACACGTCAAATTTTTCAAGACAAGAGAGAACTTTTTTATTCGTTGGGATATTTAATTGTGCAATGGATTTTATTTAACCGGAGTTGATTTCAAACACACGGCTAGGTAAGTTTATAATAATCAAAGTTAAATAGTTTGTTCATAATCGAAGAAATCCGTTTATAAAATAAGGTTCAGACAGTAAGCTTAATACACACATCAAAGCAGTCTGGTGACACTCTTTACATGTACATTAAAATATATAATTGACTTCTAATCAGCTTCACGCTTTTAATCAGCATGGCAATTGTATGACATGAGTGAGAAGCCAAGTCATTTATCATAGAAACAATAATCACCTGTAGCCTACTGTTTAAAAAATTTCTTACCACCATCTTGAGTTTGTGTTTTAAACACTATGTCTTTGGTTCGTTTTCCGGCAAGTTTGATATACGAGTTGACTTTCTTGCATATTATACAAACAGATGGAAGAACACCACTGGTAGAAGATGTGCCAATACATGATAAAGGTTGATGTGAGTTTAATTTTATCATCTTTTCATGCTGCTTTGTTGATATACATCCGTGCCCGTAAAGACGATTTTTCTGTTATCTGATTGGCTATAAATCCCCCCCACCAACCTTTAGCCGATGTATTAATATGGCGGTGAAAAGTACCACGTCCGCGCAAACAAAATGATTAAAATTTAAAAATTATTTTGTAGCAAGCAATCATGTAAAACGATACGTGAAGGTATACCATTATTCATTCCACGTATTTTAAAACTAGTCTGTGCAGAAAAAATATCAGCCCCAAACCACTTTCCATATTATATAAATATCATATAATCCATGCATGGATCGTTTATCTATGATCCATGCTCATATAATTTAGCACTCGGCAAACCTCGGTAGATTCCGTTACTCTACTGAGGTTTGCCGAGTGATAATTTAGATGTTTTTTTTTTGTGTTTTTTTTTAACTAGGCCTGGCCTATAGGCTTGTAATTGATTATTATAATAAACAAATAACCCGCTCCAGTCCACGGCCTATTATTATTTATTATGAAAGTGATAATAATTACATCATTTATGTGGTCAATAGGATGGTGGCGGATTGGTATCATGTCGTCATGTCGCCCTTGTCAAAGAGGAATCACGTCGGAAATGGGGTTTAACGCCCTACTTTCTGGGAGCCACGGCGACTCAATGAGTGAGACATTGCCTAATTTTGAGGTCCCGTTTTCGACCCCTGCATGGGCCGAGAAAATTTAGTGGAAATTTTCCGGTGTGATTCCCCCTTGACAGTGGTGCAGAAAGGAGGACATGGCAAAGGATATAGTCGTACGGATGGGACGAAAAACCGAGGCCCAATGCACATACAGTACATAACATCTACAAATTCCAAAAGTGTTCATTAAAACCCATCATGGTCATTATAGCATGAAAAGTATGTGTCTTCTTGTTAGATAACTAAATTGCAGTAGATAGGCTATTCAATTAGTTATTGTTTATATCTTTTTTTCCTTTCATTGGCATTAAAACATAAAATTTCGCTTTCATTAGAATAAAACAAAGATTGAGCCAGCTGACCATAACTTCATAAGCTTGGTTTAAATGGACGGCAACCCCTTGCAAAAGTCCCTGTGTTTTAATTCTCCACTCCAGCAAGTGATTCTTACTGTATTTCCTTTTCAAAAAAAAAAACAAAAAAAATGTTAGGTACTTGAAATGTAGTTCAAGTGTTAATTAATCTAGGCCTACTTAGTATGACGAAATTGTGATTTAAAGATACAAATATCGAGATTGGTATGAAAATGTCAACTATTTATGATTAAAAATCAAGGATTTATTTACAGGGATTATCTTCCGGTGGTTTTATTCTGATTACTCATCTAGTCTTGATTCACGATTTAAATATCTTCTGACAAATTATTAAACTCAGATTTTCGATATATCAGGTCACGAAGTGCAAAGTTTCGCCCCCCCCCCCCACCCATCCGTGAAAAAATTGTCGACCATAAAAACAATAGATATACATTGTCCGTCACGTTTACAGCACCCATGAGAACACTTCCCGCCCGCCTGGTTGCTCTGAGCTAGTTACGGCCCTGACGAAGTGATGTATAGTGCGGGCAGGGGCGTGGTGACCCATCATTTTGCATGAGGAACAAGATCCCGTCCAGGCCAGAAGCGGATCCAAGTGGGGGGGGGGGGGGTCCTTTTTTACTGCTGAAAGTGCCTTTTCTCAGACCCAAATATGTCCGTTCCCAACCCGTTGCACGGGATCCCAAATGACCCAAACCATCGACTCAAACACACCAGTCTGGTCTAATTAATGCTTCCCCTTTCAAACGAATTCTTGTTGATTAGCTGACGGTGCCCTAATCCTATAGAGTGACTATAGACAGACATCTATATAGCATCTTGTGGAATCGGCGGCGTATACACTCATGCCCATCACCGACGCACATGGGTGCAGCTTGATGTAGTTTACTTAGACGAAAATATCAGACAAATAGCTCTTGGAATGGCTACAGATGCAACGAAATGACAGATAATTTTCTTGCCCCCCCCCCCCCCAATAAAAACCCTTTTCAAAATTCCTAGATCCGTCCCTGCAGGCCCGCCAAAAACAATAGTTATATGTATGTGCGGGGGAGGGGGTGGGGTGGCAATCCCTCCCAGTGCCGCCGAGTAATATAGTTCTGTGTGGAGCATGCTCGAGTCGATTTGTAGCATATCTGACCCAAATGACTTGTTTTTGTCAAGTTGACGTTAAACCCCATTTCTCTCTCGTAACTAAACATACTGCACCCATGCAGCGATCCATCTACGTCATACTTCGAGAATACCTGTTCTCAGACGGAGCTAGTTGTAGAAGGCAGCCTAAGTTTGGTCCACCAAGCGGATAATAATTCACCAAATTGCTTCGTATGCAAAAAAACACAACAAAAAAAACCAAAAAAAAAAACAACAACATGAGGATTGTGTCAATAATATAGATAAAATTGCCCATACCAATGAAGAGAATAACCTCTCCTGGGGCGAATCCAGGAATGTTGCAGGAGGGGGTTCGCCAGGTTCCTGAGTCCATCGTATTTTTTTTTTTTTGAGGTGGGGGAGGGGCAGATACGTCCTCACCCCCCGGCCTTGAAAATTTCTGAGGAATATGCATGGTCTCTATCGTCATTTTGGCGTATATCTGGTAACTACAGGCCATTTTGACAAAACACAAAAACTGGAATTTTACATAAAAACAAACTAAATACATTTACCTACTACGCTACGTTTTAGTTTTACTGATATGCAATAAAATCGGTACTACACGATTTTGGCAGGAAACTATAAGGAAGCAAAATAGAAAAACAAAAAACCGACCGCGATTGTATCAAACACCAGAATATCAAGAAAATTCGACACGTGAACTATTCGTATATTTTTTTTCCAATACACCGAGCTACAGATACCTTGACAAGACAAGAGCCTAAAATACAGTTTTGCACAATTATGACTCCAAATGTAATTGGGAAGAATAGGCGGCGTAGATGTTTTTTTGAGGAGAGAGAGAGAGAGAGATAGATAGAGAGAGATAACGTTTGGTCTTTATTGGATGAATCAATCGAAAATGCTCTAGATATATCGAATAACATAATAATTTTGGGTGATTTGAACTCTGACCTTTCAACATTAGATAACAAGTTATAATCATTGATTAATTTATATGATTTAAAAAACGTAATAACTAAGCCCACTAGATTATCTAAAACAAAATCTACATCAATAGATCCTATTATTATCCTATCGTTTATGACTTACGCTATTGCCGATACTTTAGATGTTCCTAGTTTTGTATCTGATCACAGAGCAACATTTATCTATTTAAATCATGGTATACCTTCTAAAAGACCTTTTAAAAGGGAACTTTTTCTTCACAAAAGAGCAAATTTTACCACCCTAAATAATGAAATAAACAGTTTTAATTGGCATGAAATTATTAACGACTCGTACCAAATTGATAATATTATTGATAAATTTGATAAGAAAATCGAACAATTAATATCTCTATATATTCCTACTAAAACCATTACTGTTCATCCTAATGATAAACCTTGGTTCAGCAAGCAATAAAGTGAATAACATGAAACAATATGCCAAAACTCAGTATAATGAATCCGTTAATAATAGAATAAAAAATATGTCCAATCTTTCCCAAAGAGATTATTGGAAAGCGATGGAAAATTTCATCCCCACTTCACAAAAAACATTAATTCCCCCCTTGAAAAATTCTCAGGGTTCTTATGTTAACGAATCTAAATCAAAAGCCAATATTTTGAACCAATATTTCACGTCTATTTCGACAATACAAGACATGAAAGTGTTACCCGAATTCCCAACACGCTGTACAACAATATGCCCCCCTTATTGTTTTACTTTAACGGATGTCAAAAATGTATTAAATTCAATAAACGAATCGAAAGCCAGCGGACCCGGGCCAGTTAATAATAAAGTATTAAAATCTGTAAAACATAGTATCTGTAATCCTCTCTATTTACTTTTCAAAGTTATTATAAAACAGAATATATTTCCGAGTAAATGGAAACAAGCCAATGTTATTCCTTTCTATAAAAAGGGTGATAGGTCGGATCCCAAAAATTATAGACCCATTTCCCTGTTAAATAGTATATCTAAAGTTTTTAAACGATTAATTTATCAGAATCTTTTTAGTTATTTCTCAAAAAATGAACTTTTTAACAAGTACCAGTCGGGTTTCTACCAGGCATATCTACGGTACATCAGCTTATTGAAATATATCAATATATTTGCAATTCATTAGATAAAAAAGAATACACAGGCTTAGTATTCTGCGACATTTCCAAAGCTTTCGATAAAGTTTCTCATAAAGGATTATTGCATAAATTGAATAGTTATGGAATCCAAGATGACAGACTCGTACTAATTTCTAGTTACTTTAATAACAGAAATCAAGTTCTTATGTTAGAAAATTGTTTATCTGATACTATGTCTACAAATTCTGGCGTTCGGCAAGGTTCGATTCTTGGTCCTCTGCTTTTTTTGATTTATATAAATGATGTATCTGATCATCTTAAATATAACGTGTCTCCCTCGGCTATTATTCTAGATATATTTAATTGACACGTATACTATTACTATCTCCCTGATAATATCTACTACATCGTTAACACAGTTCATCGCGTGCATTTTGCATACCGATAGTTCATTGGCCAATCACATTATTTTACCGACATTTCGCCTAATAGTTTGGATGCAGCTATGGCGGGTGTGGCGCCAGGCAGGGTAAGCTTACTCTTCCGGACACCTGTTACCACTGTTTGTCGTGTAATTTGTACACGAGGAGCAGTCCATTTGCTGATTACACTATTTTTCTTGAATACACTATTTTGCCTATAACGTTTTTTAGGACTTCGAATTCTGTCTTATGGTTTGGATTGTTCGTACTTGGTTTTATTTTATTTAACGAGATTATTTGCCGATGACACAACGCTATGTTCTTCGTCAACAGATTTATCAAATGTTGAAACTGAATTGAATTATGATTTAAACCAGTTGTGTGTCTGGG